TTCTTCCAGAAGGCTGGAGTTCAGTTCCCAGCAGCCATGTCAGGAAACTCACAGCCACTTGTAACTCCAGCTCCTGACACTTCTTGCTTCCCTAGGCACCTATGCACACACATACACACAATTAAAAATGAAAACAAGTCCTAAAAAATGCTTCCTTATCAAGAAGATTAATATTTCAAGGTAACTCTGTTTTACCTATTTTATTCTCCACAGATGTTACTGGAATCAGCTGATGGGAAAATTTTACTCCTCTATAAAGCAACAGATGAGAACAAGGAAAAATAGTTTTTATTGTATTGTGAAATGCAGGACTAGTATTGGCAGATACTGCATTCTGTGGTATTTACTCCTCTGTGTCAAGCCTATAAATTATCTTCTCTTACAAGACTGCCTTTATGTATTCTATTCTATAGAAAATATTTATCGAATGATAGCAATGTTAGGTGCTTATCAGTTGTTAGATGCATTATATTAAAGCAAGATGGGTATTTGCATAATGACAGAGAGAGCACAGCCAGCACTAGTGACCAGTTCCTTGAAGTTATCTTTTATTTGCTAACCTAATACAGCACAGGGTGTTATCCTGATTGAGCCTGTTAGAAGTGGGGGAATAAAGCATTTCTACGGGAGTTAGTTTGCCACCATGTGTCAGCATCCCCAAGGGTGGATGTTAGAGATTCTGGGTGCTTTTGAGAGCACCCCTGCCACCACACATACACTCCCTAGGGTCAAATGTGCATGTTCTAGAAGGCAGGGTTGAAGCCACATCTGATAACCCTGTGCAGTTGAATTCACAAGCTCTGCGTAGCCTGGTATTTATCAGGCCAGAGGCTAAATGTAAGGTGAGAAGCCTGCCTGCTGGAAGCTGGTTAAGAGCCCATTTTGGAGCACCTTAGAATCTGTAATTAGTCAATTAAAAAATGCCTCCAGCATTTACAAGGCTGAGTGGTAGGAGGAGGGTTTTGGAGGAAAATACTCCCAGTCTCTGAAATTTTGGGTGCAGAGAAGCACAAAGAAAATAGATGATTTGTTAACAGCAGTCTGTTCTCTTGCTGTTGTTTGCCCGTTTCAGTGTTGGAGTGCCACCTGTCCCCTCACACATGCTAGGCAAGCCCTGACTCTACCACAGAGCTGCAGCCCAGCCCCTGTCAATTCTGTTTCATGTCAGCACCACTCTTTTCTGTAGAGATTTTTGGCCCAAATCTGTAGAACATTCGAGTGTAAGACATAAGAGAGTCTCCTCTATATTTGGGAACTAAATTAACTTCATTTGGAGTGAGCAACTGTAAACCTTTATTTTCTATTATTACTGATTACACAAACATCTATGATTGGATAGCTATCATCTTATCTTAAAGTGGAAGCCCAGAGGATAGAGAGGAAAAGACTGAGCCAGGAAGAGTTCTCTTTCTGAAGTTAAGCAGGAGAGTGCCTGAGAAGTAGGAGAGCACCGTGTTCACATGGTCTTTTTTAAACGGAGATCTGATTTCTCTTGGTAATTATATTAAATGAACAAATATCTACCACAGTCTCTTTCTTTAAATGTAGATTCACAAACAGCCATCAAAAAATTGGTCTGTTGTCCCTGGCAGCCTGAACTGGATTCAGAAAATAAAGAGAAAGCCCAAACCTAAGTGCATTGTTTTACATCCTACCTTCTCCCCCAGCATGTTGTATCAAACAGTAGTAGGTAGATCATTAAACCACAAGGGGACCCAAATCTTTATCTTTCTTGTCAGCGTAATGATCTTTAAAAACAAAAACAAAAAACAATGGGTTTTACTGCCACCAAGCCAGGATATAAAGAACAACAGAGAAAAAGCTTCTGTGTTTAACAGAAACAGGCTTGAGAAAAGAGTGTAGGTATACCCTAAATCAAAGTAGTTTTCCTCAGTGAATTAACTCATTAACTATTGTACCTGCTATTCATGCTGTAAGAATTTCTGTACACCCTCCAGCTTATTCATATGCTTGAACAAAGTGACTCAACAAAGTATGGAGTCCTGAAGTGGATGGATCCGGAAAGTATAATAGTAAACAACATATCTCAAACTCAGAAAGACAAAAACTTCAAGTTCTCCCCCTATGTGGATCCTAGCCTATACTGTATACATGTGTACACATGAACCATTGTGAATGTGGGTCAAACCTAAAGAAACTGGAAAGGAGACCAAGAAGAGGTGATACTTGGTGATGAGGAAGGGCAGGATGTGTAAGAACACATGCAACTTGAAAGAGGAAAAGAGGCATTTGGGGGAGTGTATGAGGGGAAACAAGGGGAGAAGGGGGCAGGAGAGATGGGGGAGGAAAATCACTAAACCATACTGTGCTGGATAGCTTTAGTTGTCAACTTGACACACCTGGGTAGAGGGAGCCTCAAGTGGTGAACCACCTTCATTGGACCGGCCTGTGGTCATGTCTGTGGGGCATCTTCTTGATTAATGCATGGTGTGGGAACCCAACCCACTGTAGGTGGTGCCACCCCTGGGTGGGTGGGCCTTTGTTGTATAAGAAAGCAGGCTGAGCATAGGCCAGGAAAGCAAGCCAGTAAGCAGGGTTCCTCCATGGCTTGTGCTCTAGCTCCTACCTCCAGGTTCCTACCCTGAGTTCCTACCTTGGGCTCCATAATGAACTGTGCCCTGGGAGATGGATGCTAAATAAACCATTTCCTCCCAAAGTAGGTATTGGTCAGAGTGTTTTGTCACAGCAATGGAGAAACAAACTAGATCACATACTTTGTTTGAAAATGTTATAGTGAGAACAAACACCCTAATGCTAATTTTAAAATCTTTTTAATTAAAAAAAGAACATGCAATCCTGTTTTTGCATTGTTTATAAAAGATCCACCTTGTCTAAAAACTGTATTTTGTTGCATTCCCCTGGGATGTTTCCCTGTGAAAGAGATTGTTTGCATTTACTAATCCAATAAGTATATACCAAATATAAGTAGCTCTTTTTTAAAAGATTGATTTGTTTTTATGTGCATGAATTTTGCCTGCTTGTAATTTATGTACACAACATGCATAATGTAGTGCCTGTAGAGACCAGAGGAGGGCGCTGGATCACCTGGAACTGGAGTTACAGACCGTTGTTAACCCCCATGTAGGTGCTAGGAACACCAGCCTGGGTCCTCTGCAAGAATAGCCAGTGCTCTGAACCACTGAGCCATCTCTCCACCCCCACACTGAGTACCTCTTATTCCAGATACTGGAGGTCTGCTCTGAGGTTTTGGAGCTCAGATTTTGTGTGTGTATGGTGGGGAGTATTGAGAGATGACTCAGTGGTGAAGAGCACTGGCTGCCCTTACAGAGAACCTGGGTCTGATTCCCAGTACCCACATGGACGCAAACAACTGGCTGTGACAAATAGTTCCAGGGGATCCTACACCCTCTACTGACCTCTAAGGGCACTGCATGACAAGGGTGCACTTACCTACATGTGGGCAAAACACTCACATACATAAAATAATTTTTTTTTTAATTAGACTTACCCATCCTTAATCCAAAATCTGAAAGTAGAAATTCAGATTTAAGGGGTGCTCAAAAAATTCAAATTTGGGGGGCTGGAGAGATGGCACAGTGGTTAAGAGCTGACTGCTCTTGCAGAGGACCAGGTTCAACTCCCAGCACTATGAACTATCCTTAACTCCAATTCCAGGGGAATCCGACGCCCTCTTCTGACCTCCGTGGCATTGCATGACACGGGTGCACTCACATACATGGTAGGCAATACACTCATACATATAAAATAAAAATAATAAAATATATATTTTTTAAAGTTCAAGTTTTGGAGCATTTCCAATTTTGGATTTTTCAGCTCAGAGATGCTCAGCCTGAATTTGTTTCAGGTTTGTTGTCTGTAGAACATTGTGCTGATTTTGCCAGAAATTATGGCTTTAGCCTTTCAGTCACTTCACAGGTATTTATTGTATGTTACTTTGTGCCAAGAGCAGTCCTTAGCATTCAAAATGTCAAACAAGTGTGTTGTCTACCCACCTACAACCTCTGTCTTCATGTGGAAGTCAGACAGTACATAAGCAAAAACACGACATTTAATTTAAGCTATTTTTTTCCTATGCTGGGGATTGAACCCAGGTCCTGGAGCATGCTAATCACATGTGTTACCACTGAGCTACATTCCAACCTGCACAATGAAATTTAGAGAGGAACTATGTCAGCTCTTGTATCTAACTAATGTCTGATAAGTCTGAAACAATACCCAGGAAGTTAGATGCTATGACGTAAGTAAGTATGATCTACTGTGTATGTGTGTGTATGTGTGTGTGTGTGTGTGTGTGTTGCCAAGGGTGGAACCCAGAGCTTGAACATGCCAAGCATCCCTTTTGCAATGATTTGACTTTTTTTTTTAATATTTATTTTTATTTTATGTGTATTCATGTATTGCCTACATGTGGGTAAGTGCACCCGTGTTGTGCAATGACCGTGGAGGACAGAAGAGGCTGTCAGATCCCCTGGAACTGGAGTTATGGACAGTTAGCTGCCATATGGGTGCTGGGATTAGAACCTGGGTCTTCTGCAAGAACAGCCAGTGTTCTTAACCGCTGAGCCATCTCTCCAGCCTCTGATTTGACTTTAATAAAGTCCAAGCTTTTTTTTTTTGCAGGCATCTTGTTCAGTTTTCACAATGGCTCTGCAAAGTATGGATTATTAGCCCCATTTATTCAGATGAAAAAATTGAGGTCCAGAGAGACTGAATTTTTCAAGGTCTCAGAGCTAATCAATAGCAAAAAGCTTTCTGGAATGAAACCTTTACCTCCTGACCATAAGTCACAGTTTGCCTCTGCATTATGACTTGACACATATTGGATTAATCACCCACGAATTCTTTCCTTTCTACATTTCACGTTAAAAGTCTGAAGAATAGAATTGCTTCTGCTACGTGACGGGAGATCTGCTTCTTGCTTTTGACTTTTACGGTGCGTTTAGTAAAGCCCTGAACCTACTGAGGGGAAACTTGTTTCTAAAACTCAGTCTTTACACATCGGCTGGGTTTTCCAAATCTCACCCTCCCTCAGGCTAATTGAGTCTTCCTTGGGGAAATGGATGAAGTTTGAGCTGAGACACAAACAGGAAGGCAGTGAGGCAGTGTTTGTCCGGCAGGCACCACCTCTTTAAATAGCCCTGGTGCGGAGGGAATCAGTTCTCCACTTAGCCTAGGAACTCCAACGTCCTTTGTTTCTAGGCCATGGAGTCCAGCCCCGCTGTCCTGTGGGAGGGCAGGCCAGAGCTCAGTGATGTGTGGTTGGGAAGGCTGGCTGGAGATGTCCTCCCTGCCTCCAGGTCATGAGGGCACACTTTGGCAGAGCTGTTCTGTGCCTCTTCTTTGAGAGAATCATCTCCGAGATTTCTACTCTACTGAATGGTAAGGTTCCAGGCGTTTCCTACATCAGTTACTTGGGCTTCTTTATGCAGACTGGATTTCTCTTTTATATAAGATAAGGGAGCAAATAAGTTGCAAGAGCTTTTTAAAGAAGCTAGTTTTCGGTGGATGCATCGGTGGGTGGTGCTTATAATCTTAGTACTTTATAGGTACATCATGTTGTGAGATAGTAAATTGTGATTTTTTTTTTTTTTTAGTCTTTCAAAGCAGGTTGTTTTAAAATGTTATGGTATGAATGTGAGTTCTAACACTCAAATATAGAAAGTAAGTCCTGTTACTAATGTGAAAATACTGGTTTAAAGACTTCTTAATAGGTGCTTGAAAATAAGTGGCCCAGAGACTTTTGGTTCCAATTCCTGGCTTTGTGCTGGAGACTTGAAACTATCTAATTCAGTCATTCCAGGTAATTATCTAATTTTAGTAACATCTACTGAAGTAGACTATTACTCAAGCCCGCTATTCCACCCTTGAGTGGAATCCATGTCTTCTCTGGTCAGGCTAGCAAGCTTTTTCTGCTTGATTTCAGTGCAGGGACAAAGGACCCCAGCCTGAGGTAGCCTTTGCTCTGGTTAAGGACCTGGAATTCTGCATGCCCACATGGGACTTCTACACCAGGGATCTTAGAACCTGCATCTGTCCATTGAGACTGACCTTTTTCTGGCTTCTGCTTCCCTTCCTGGGGGTACTTTCCTCTAGATTAATTAGCACCTGTGTTCAGTGTGTCTGAAGTCCAGGACCTAATGAGCTTAATTGCAGAGGCTTCACTTCCAGAAACACAAAGGCATGCTCTTCCCAGAAACTCTCCCTTAGGGTTGATTAACCTCCTCCAGCTTGATTTTTCCATCTCAGCAATGACTGCAACCCCCCCAACCCAATTTTGTCTTTGTGTTGTATGTTGTGTGGGAGGGTAGCAGGGTCAGGAGGCAGAATGGCTGATTATTTGAATTTCATTTCCTTTAAATTAGATTTGAATCCTCTGCTTTAGAGTTATGGATTTTTCTACTTAATTCTATGATCTTTGTATTTTGAAAACTGCATTCATGGTTACTTAATTGTTTCTAAATTGCTTTAACTACTGCATTTGGTAATCAGAGTAAAGGCTACTTTGACCCTGCAGAATCTTCCTTCACAGAACTCTAGAGTCTAATGGGAAGCCTGCCTTGTTTGTATACTTTATGGAAGGCGGGGCAAAGCGTTAAATATTTTTTACCTTGGATTTCAGGCATGAGGAAAAACATCTGTGGTCCATGAATAGGGCAACCATTTCCAGGTTAATACCTGGAGGGGATATTAGTTTGATGGGTTCATTTGTGAAAAGAAATGTGATTATTACTGGATGGGGGTCTTTCTTTAACTTTGTCATTATGTAATAATAAATTTGCTTTGTGTCAAGAATTTGCTTGGAGTTTTCACATTCCATAGTTTCTTTTTGATAGCCTCTAGTTCTAAATATAATCACCACCTCCCTCCCCTACATACCTTTGAACATGTGTGTATCTTTCACAGATAATTTTCTAAAGCCCCTGTTAAACTCTAAGCCAAAGGATGAACCGAATAGCAGCTGAGCTAATCAAAAGCAAGTTTAACAAGACAAGACTCTTGTTTAGATTTCCAGATCTAAACAAAGGAACTTATTTTTCTGATTTTAAGGGAGGAGGGATCAGTTGGAAAGCAGAACAACACTCAGCCGCCAAGCTAGCAGGATCTGTGACAGATAAGGAATTCCAAAGACAGTAACAAGATTGGGACCCAGTTGCCAAATCCTACTTGAATTAAAAAAAATTACATCACATGTGGGATGAGCTCAAAGGAAATCAGTACCTCTTAATAATAAGTAGAATGACTAAGTCAAGATTTACAGGAAGGTTTCCTTCTGTCTCCTCTAACTGGCTGCACGAATGTGGTTGGTGCCTGTTTGAAACCCTGGAGGTGGTGTTTTGAATCAGTGCTGCTGATGTAAACGTAGATCCTGACCTGGAAACCTTCCCAAAATAGAGGGTGAAAACAGTTCACCCTAGAAGTACAGTGTTAAGTCAGTACCCGGCACAGAGCAGCCTGCAGGAGACCCGGCAGGACTACTTCCAGCTCTGATGAAGGTACTTGGTAATCAGACCAGTCTGAGGTGGAGGATTGCTCTGAGAACTGTCACCCAGGCTGACCTCAACTGAAGGAAGGAGAGTCAGAAAAAAGGGAGTTCTTTCTTAGGAATACAAAAGCCTGCAGAGTATTTAAGGGCTTTTTAAAAAAAAATGCTTTTGAGAGGAGTGTTTGGCAATGTAGGAACTGACATTGTTAAATGACTTTGGTGAGGAATAAATGATAGGTTTATAAAGCTCGTTTACCAAACAAATTTCGGGAAGTGAACAAACAAACCAGGGTTCTGTGAACTAGGAAGATTAGCCTGAGTCCTTCTCTACCAGATCTGTTTGATTAAACAGAAACAAAGACCTCAGTTTTTTTCATTTCCCTTATGCACACACATGGTAAATGAATTAGGACCTACCAGGTAAGGCTATTTCCTGCTTGGCTCCGGATCACACTAGTTTAGACTTACCAAGGATCCAAGTTAGTGCTCACAAAAAAATCACTATCTAGGATACAAACAACCCCTCGGTTTGCTTCAAAGGACAACGGCAGAGCAGATTTTGGTTAAATTGTGCACCAAAGTGGCATTTGACTCCGAATCTTCCAGAGAAGTAGGTAGATGGCATTGGAGATGCCATGGCCCTAGTTTTCTCCTGCTCTGCAGTGGGCAGAGAGCCTTCCTAACTGGGAAGGAAAGCTGGGGGCGCGAGGTCGGCACTTTCTAGGAGCGCCTGCTGCAGGCAGAGGTGCAGCAGCCCACGGGGACCTTGGACTAGCCCAGGGAGAGGCTTCCTAGCAAATATGATGAAAAGGGAGGCCCTGCCATGAGTGTGCTTGTGTGCTTGTTTAGTGATCACCTATTTCTTTTGGTGTTTTCTCTTTTTTATATCCTTCCTCCTTTCTTCCCTTTTTCCCTGTCCCCTGCCCTTTTTTCCCTCTCACCCTTCCTTCCCTTTTAAAGTAGGGTCTTTCTATGTAGCCCAGTCCTCCTGGTTCAGCCTTCCAAGTGCTGGGATTATAGGCGTGCACCACCATGCCCAGCCTAACAGCATCCTTTATAGTAGTGGATGTAACACATGTTCCCAGCCTTTCATCCTACACTTGGCAACTGTGAATTATTCAGTAGAGATGAGTCTGTATATATTGTGAAAACATTTTAGACTTTGTCCTATGCTTGTTGTAGACTTTGTCCTCCCCAGAAGGTTCTGTTTTTAAACACAAGCTCAAACAATCAGTATCCCCCCCCCCGACCCCCTTTGTTAAATGATTCTGATGTTATCTATTACCAATAAGAACTTCTAGTTCCTTCAAAACTGCGTTTTAATCCATGGAACAGAAGAAAGCAGAGATCAATATCAGGCAAACCCATCTTGGACTGTTTTGAGAAATGGTGTAATTTTCAGTCTAAGATGTGACTGAGATGTCAGAATGTCTGTGGCAGGGAATGCAGGGGTTTTGTAGTAATGGTTGGCTGGGTTTGGGAATGCTACCATGAGAAGGAAGCTTAAAGACAGAAAACTTGGTACAGGAGATGCTTTGTGGTGGGTTTTTGCTTTGTTTTGCTTTGCTTTGCTCTGTTAACAAGGTTTTGCTGGTCCAATTGACCTGGAACTTACAGTACCTCCCATGCTGGGGTTACAGGCATGTGCCACCAAGCCCTGTAGTATTGCAGTACCGGAGTATACAGACTTGGCTGTGGGATGTGCTGCTGACTCTGAGGGTAAGACAGGAAGGGTAGGAAGAGGAGGATTCCTGAGAAGCATCTGTACTCTTCCCACAGTTCCTACAGACCTGTCTTTCATGGTCTCTGCTTTAAGTCCTGGACTTCTTTACAGGTTGTTATTTGGGAAAACAAAACAAAACAAACACAAAAATTCCATGAAGGTAAAAGTTCCTGAGCAGATGAAGTTGCTGGTATACTGTTGACTGTCCTTTATCTCCTGTCTGCTTATATTCCTCAAGTACCAGCTCATTCTGGGGCCAGTTCAGAAATACATCACTGTAGGTGCACACAGGAAGTACTATTTATTCAGCACCTTTCAGTGTATGGGCCTTTTACAGACATGGTTTCATTAACTTTTTTTACTTTTTTTTTTAATTTAATTTTTTTGGAAAGGGTCTTTTTGAAACAGGTCTCCCTGTGGTCTTAGCTGGCCTGGAACTCACTATGTAGACCAGGCTGGTCTTGAACTCACAGAGATCCGGCTACCTCTGCCTCCCAAGTGCTGGGACTACAGGCCTGCGCCACCACGCCTGGCAGTTTCATTAATCTTACACAAGCTCCTGGAGAAGGCCTACAGGTGAGGAACCAGAGAAGTTAATTGTCAGCCCAAGTTCATACGGTTTAGTGTCAGGGCAAGGGGGACCAAAGTGCTGAATGAATGATAAACTGTGGTCTCTGTGCTCTGCCGTATAGACTAGGAACACTCCGAGGTGGAAGTGGCCGTGGCTGCAGGCTTTGCAGTCATCCATTGGGGCTGCTTCTCTTCATTAATGAGGCTACCCGGGTCTCTGTTCTCAGTCCTCTTGTTTTCAGTGCTGGGTGGAACTTGGGTCTCATGCATGCTAGATATTAGGCACATGTGCCACTACTGAACCACACCCTAGCCCCAGCCAATTTAGTTATTTACTTATGATTTCATTTTGTCTTTTGAGGCAGGGTATCACAATGTAGCCCAGGCTGGCTGCCAACTTAATATCTTCGTAAAAAGACCGAAGTTCATTTTTGATTCCTCTTTCCACACTGCTCTCTGGAAGAACAGCATGGTATCACTCACTGACTTATAAATCATGTGGGGGAGGGGCGGGGAGGGCATGTGTACGTGTTTAGGAGCACCTCTTCAGAGAAGTGGGAAAGGAGTCGCATATTTGAGAAGCAATATGTTACTGAGAATTGT